TCAGACGTGTGCTCTTCCGATCTGCATTATTGTTATCTCTCTAGTATGGTCTGTACAATAAATAGTATGATTGAGAGATATATATGATATAGTTGCACGTCACAACATTGAGGCTGAGAGTTCAGTTAACTATATAAATCACTTCCAAAGTATTTTATTTTTTATAACTCTTCTAAATTGATGGGCGAAAATTATCACAATTATTAGGTTGTGGCAAAACCAATTTTTTTTCCGTGTATAAATTTCGATTGCGATACATGTAAATCATTTATTATAACTTTTTCTGCTGCAGCATACAGAAGTACATAATATTTTCGCGTTTAGTATTCGCGCTTAGTCTCGTCTTTTCATTAAAATCATCACGTATGTTTCTCTCGCAGTTCATTGCCACGATACATACAAGCGATCAAGGTTCGATAATCCATCAAGTCTCGTACACAATGAACACGGACTCGTAGAAAACTGAGGTCATACTTGAAGCTTCATTTCATTCGGTTCTCGTAATATTTTCATTAACGATGCGCGCACCGCAATCGCTCTTTCACGTCCAAGTCCAGATCAAAAGAGTATTCGTAATTGGGAATGAATTCTATTGTTCCTTCATATACGAAGCGAAATGTATGGAAACGCAATTTAAATGACGAACAGTTTACATAATCTAATTTCTTTCACGTTTTATTATCTTCAAATTCGCGACCAATATTTTTATTGCATAATCAGTTAGTCATAGTAACGAGGTTATTAATCATTGATAACGTTTGATATATAATTAAGTTAATCGAGAAAAAACTTCATATACTTGTCCGCGATAACAGTTAATCTTATCGTTTTAAAGAGAAGAAATTGACGCGGACCAAGTATGAAGATATTGTATGAAGAAATGATCTTTTCAGCGTTGTTCGTAAATCGTCCCTAAGCATCGTCCACCACATAATAAATCCACTTTTTAATTTTTCCCCTTTTGTGTGTGTTCGTATAAGCACGCGTCAATATTTTCGTAGTAGCGTTTGCGCAAAGTGCGACATAATGTGAAATGGGACCCTCAGCAAAACATCTTGTTTATTATTCGATATAATGATACCGATCTGCCGAGTTCGCACAGTCGATTGCTTGTACTCAACATCACATGCAGCTATTACCTAAACAGAAATTTGTAAATATTAGGAAATGGACTTTCACAATCACGATGAAGCAATTGAATATGACCCATTCCTCCTCGATTCGAGGACGGCGTTTCACGTAGGTGATTTGAATAGTGACTAACTTGTCGTATAAGTAATACATTTTCAACAACTTCAAGAGAAGCTTGCGAAAAGAAGCGTGACCTCGGCGCAATAGTACAAAAAAATATATATACAGAGACGAAAACACAAAAAATTGCTTGTATAATGACACGAGTCATTTACGTGCAATCCAATTTATCGCGACGACTTTTAATTTCAAGATAAATTTCAGACAAATAAACCTTACACGCAAATATGATAAATATAATTAGCATTGATATGACAATTTATGAGGGGAACGATATCTTCATAATCTTAAATATCAATTAAATGATTAAGGCTTTTTTTATCAATATCTAATTGATGATTAAACTAATTAAATTAACAATTAGATAATTATCAACTAACAGTAGGATTATGAAATACGTATCAATATAGTCATTCCGTTGCAATTTGGCTCTATTAAAGCTTATCATGTATTTCAGTATGATATTAAATCTTAATTTTATATATTTCAGTATCAATTAGTAATATCATTAACATCATTGGCATATTACTGTGTGATGCGGTGAATGTCTTTACATTTTATGCATAATTTAACGAGGCTATGTGCTCTCTTAAATCGAATCGATGAAAATTTCTCTGATTAAAACAGTAACAGATATTTATTGATGATCAGTGAGTATTTAACTTATTTTAAAGTGAAAGGCCAAAGTGCGAGTGTTCGTACTTTGCCCTTCCGTCTTATATCTTACTGATTGTGGCTAGTAGAACT